GCTCCTCTCCAGCCCTGTGAGGGTGGGAGGAGGGCGGGCTCGAGGCCCTGACACTGGGTGGGTAATTGATCTGGAGTTGCCAATTTGCAGCAGCTAAATATTTGGTTTCTGCCTCTGCCTGCTCAGCGAGCTGCTCAAACAAACTTCAATTAAAAGCGAGTGATGTAGTGGAGGGGAAGGGATCGGCGGGGCGGGCTGCGGGGCTGGCTCTCCGTGGGCCCGATCGATGGGACGGACAGCTCCTCTCAGCATTCTGACTCGGCCCGCATCGCTGCCGCTGTGCTAAGCAAGAAGAGGACGAGGGCAATGGAATGCTTTTTTTCTCCTTCCTTCTCCCGAATCACAGAGCACGCTTCGGGCCCTGGAGGATGTGTGGGTGGCAGTGAAGGACGTGACCGGGACTTGGGCTGGAGATAGGGCTTGGGATAAGGAGTGTGAGCCTGGCCTAGGGGACACAGGGAAGGGCAGCACAAAGACATCTCTCCTCTGACCCTGCCCAAATGGAAGAAAAGACAGGCCTCCTTGGGTAAGCAAAACCAGCACAGAAAGCCAGTTGTCCCAGCGCCCAGTGTCTGACAATCTCAGCTTTCAGAGGGTTGGCACAGACCCAGCTTGGCTTCTGTGTTGCTGGGGAGTCAGAGTGACCACAGGTGAACCTGCAGCAACCGTGGGTCCTCCACCAGAGAGAGGTCTGAAGGGCAGGGAAAGGTGATACAGAAATGTTAAATACACACATACATACTGTACTTATATCCACATATGATGAATGATAGATGAGAAGTGAAAAAATGAACTTAGGGAGGGACAGTGTCAGGGAGAGACATACACACAAAGACAGCAACAGACAGAAACAGAGTGACAGTATCAGAGACACAGGGACAAAGAGACAGAGACAAAGACAGTGTCAGAGACAAAGAAATAAAGATGGATATCAATAAAATAGAAAGATGTGCATGAGAGAGAGATGACCACTCTATAGATGAATAAACTGAGGCCCAGAGGCAAAGTGACTTTCTAAAGATCAGTAACACAGATGAGCAGCAGAAGGCAGTTAATAAGCGTTTCTCTGTGTCAAGCACTTAAGTAGATCTGAACTCCAAATCTAGTTCTCTATTTACTGTGCCACATGTGCTCCACTATATTGCTGTTTTCCAGACTTGACAGCATTTTGGCCTCAATAAGCCCCCACCCTGCTAAAGCTTCCCTTTGCTTCCATTCCAGACTTCCCATTTCTATTTATCTCAATGCGTAACAAATTTCTGTATACAAGGAGGTGCTCTTCCACATCCCAGTACATATAACCTTGAATTATCTCTCCTTTTTGGAAGACTTACTTCCTTCTCCCCACCCCCAAACCTAACCCCTATCCTTATCCCTCTTAGATCAGAGCACTTTGATCTACCACTTCAATTCCCAACTCCTGGTCCCTTTTCCCACACAGTGAGTAGGTTCCACATTGGTTGGAGAACAAACATGAGGAGGCAGTCAAATTCAGGGCTGTTGGCCAGAAGCTTTTTCCCTCTGCTCTTCTACTCCCAATCTGTTCACAGACACCTAGGTGGACTGCAGTAATTGCCTCTCCCAAATCAGCCTTGTGTCATCCCCTCCAACACACATATACACACACATACACATACACACAGGCCATGTGCTTGGTTGCTGGGAGTGTGGGGAATCTGAGTGTAGGCTTCCAACTCCTCCCCATCCCTTTCAGAGCTCTCAGAGGAGCTGTGGAGCAGAATGATTTCCTGTAATTGGCCAGCAATCTGGTCGCCTGGCTTGTTCTATTGACGTGCTGGTTAGCTGAAAATTGTATTGGAATGTGAGTGAAGGGGGAGGAGGTGAGGAGTTGGGGTGGGATGCGATGGAGGCAAAGGAAAAGAGACTTTCCTATATCAGCTGTGGCTGAGCCAAAGGATGAGAATCAGACTTGTCTCCTAGTCTCCAGAAAGTTGTACTGGGGATGGGGATAGGGGTTTAAGGCCACTAAAGGAAGCAGTAAAGCAACTTGCCTCCCCAGCTGTCACAAGCCCTGAGCTATACCTCTATATCTTTTCTTGTGTGTGTCTGCTCCAGGTTTTGAGTGACCCTTCTCCCACACTAGCTCCAATCCTATCTTCACCTCACATCCTAATGTCATGCAGCAGACTCTTCCTGAACTTTGCCTTCCTCTTCATCTCCTATTAAGAGATTAGAAGCCCAATAGCATTATTCCTCACACAAAAATTTAAATGCTTACTATATGTACCCTCTCAGATTTTGAAGAAACAGTTTTAGGAGGAATCAGAAGAAATGCTTTTACGCAAAGTAGACAACAAACAAATGAAATTCATTCTCCGGAGTTTATAGGGGGTCAAAAATATGGTGATGACTCTTAGATCATCTATAGATCCCTGATGTGTAAATACAGGGGCATTAGGAATATCTTGTGGTATACTTCCTAATCTGGGGATGACTTTATAGAAGGTCAGTGCCAGGATTGTCCCCAATCTTTTTTCCCATGATGCTATTGTTGACACAGGAAGCTGGGCTGGCTGGATCTATCCCGCCTCAAATTTTCTTTTAAATACTTTATCTAGATCTCTCCTGGGTCTCTCACATCCTACCTTGTAGCATGCTTATTTGCAAAGAGGTCATATCTGCTTTTTTATACAGTAAGCACCTTAAGGGAAGGGACTATGTCATTTTTCATCTTTATATTCCTAACTCTTATCATAAGAACTTGCACATAGTAAGATCTTACTATCTGTTAAATTGAATGTTTGTCGAACAGATTGGACTCATTCATTATTTCTGGGATTACAACCTGTACCAGAGTTTCTCCTTTACCTTCTAAGTCATGCAGTTTAGCAAAAGGATAGGAAAAGGGTTAAGTGCCTAAGAGCCAAAGCTTGGGTGGTAGGATTCATGGGGTTCTATCACAAAATCTCACATTACATGAACCAATTCCTAACCGTCTCTTGTCTCTGTGACTATATTAAAGGAGAAAATAACTCCTGACCTTGGAGTATGCTTTGGGACACCTGCTGGGTAATCTAAGTAAATGGGCAGGCAGACCCCAGGTCTGAGGCCCCTACTTCTGCCTGAAGGAATAAAGATGCCAGAAGCCTAGCAATTTTAACGAAAGCCCCTAGACCTTGGAAAGCTCAAAGCTATGGTTATTCTCTTGTCCCTCTTTTTTTTATGCCCCTTTGGTCTGCTTTCCCTCTACAGCAAGGGTTAATTTGGGGTTCATGAACTTGGTTTAAAAAAAGTTTTGATAAGTGTATTTCAATATAATTGGTTTCCTTTGCAATCTTATTTTATGCATTTCAAAATATTCTGAGAAAAGGTCTATAGGCTTCACTAGACTGCTAAAGGGGAAGGGAAAAGGGAGGGGAGGGTGCCTATGCCCATTCTCAAAGCCAAGATGGGGAGAAATGGCAGAAGGAAATGTCAGGCCGCAGCAACAGCAGGGAGAATGTAATCTCCATCTCTCAGCTCTCCTCTAGAGACTGGAGCTGATTTCAGGATGTTGCTTCCACCTACTGGTGGAAAAGGGATTTTACCTCTGTGTGACTCTTGCTCTGGGGCTTCTGGAATCTGTTTTCTGGGTCCATTTCTGGGTGGGTACCACATGTCTTAATTGTTTCTGGGTGGCCCAAGTCCTCTCTTCTAGCCAGCTATAGCCCAGCACTCTAAACAAATAGGAGTTTCCAGGTCATTTAGTGGATAGGTTTGGGGATCCTACTTGATCCCAGTGGACAAGGCATATGAATGCCCCTAACAATCAGCAGCAGAGAAAGCCCTAAGGGCCAAATGGTGGGGTGGGGTAGGGAGAAAAAATGGAGCTGTTCCTACAGCTACCCTGTTCATCTCTTCCCCTCTAAGAACTGTGGTCATCAGGGCAGCTCTTACCTCTAGAAAGAACTCCCCAAGTTTCCAGTCTCTTTTCCTTCTAAGGTAGTGGCAGTGGAGGAGACATTTAAAAGCTAGCTTTGGTGACCTGGGAAGCCCTACCAATGGTAATGCCACCCCATTGGCCATAGGGACAATAATTCCTCCTTGCCTATCTCTCCTCAGCCAGTGAACCAGAGGAACCTATTTCCCCTTTGGGGGTTTGCTAAGTATTAACGAGCTGATGTCTCTAAAGCATACCATGCTATGAGGAAAGGTGCACAAAATGTGGCCACTGCACTATTAGCATTTATCACAATTATTTCTAGGCTTAATAGGATGTTCTTGCCCCAGGATGAACACATCATCAGCAGGTCTGCTATGTTCTGAAGGAAAAGACTTTTTTTTTTATTGCAATATATACCTAGGGATAGAAGGAATGGTGGTGAGGCAAAGAACACAGAAAAGTAGAGGGGGTGCAGCGGTTGAGCAAGAGTCACCAGCAGGCTTAGGTAGGGATATGTGCTTCAGCCAAGTGGAGGGGCTCGAATGGAATCACAAAGAGTAAGGGGGGCTGGGTTTGGGGGAAATCCGTTTCAGCCTCCAGTTTCAAAGCTGGACACAGCCCCATTTTGTGGCGATGAACCAAATCCAGAAATCCTGTGCTTGTCATCGGGTTCAAATGTCGCTGTCACTCTAAGGCAGTGGCATAACTAGGGCAGCACAAGCGACACAGCTGCCCTGGGTGCAGTAACAATGGGGAAGATAGGGGCCCTGGAGGGAGACACCTCCTTTTGATCCAAGTCAGGCAGGAATGCCAAGCTGAGAGGGAGACTCCCCTTGGAAAGTCTCACTAACTTCACAAGGCAAGGGGGGAGAGGAGAGGAGAGGAAGAGACCCTGGAGAAACCTGGCAGTGGAGGGGGGGAATGGCTCATCCTTCCACTGTAGGCACACTATCAGGAATGAAAGCACCCAAGACAGTTCAAAAAGGGGTGCATGGACTCCAGACCATGGCCTATAGAAAGGATACTACATTCTGTCTATACATGTCACAACACATAAGCATGCACACCCACCCACAAGGGCTCCGAGTGGAGGACATAGGTCCTAGTCTCTGAGAAATGAAGAGTGCTCATTCATGGACATTTATTGAACTAGCAAGGAACAACATGTTGTACTAGGGAGCTACAATTACCCAAAGCTCCACAGGAGCCACTTCAATGCAGATGAAGAGAGGGAAGGGGAGAAAGGAAACTTTCTTTAAAGATGCACACAAAGATGCCACTGGGACAGAATAAGGAAAAAGAGACATCAGTAAATTGGTTCCTAACTCAGGAGTAGTCAGTGTCCCCTCCAAAGGCTGTTTCTTTTATGACAATAGTGCCAACCTTTCCCCCAATCTCTCAGCCCAGCAGGCTTGCCCAACACAAGAGGAAGGAAAGAGCTCAGAGTCTGTGGGAGGGAGGGACAGGATAGAACATTGCCTTCTCCTCAGCAGCGTCCAAGACCCTGTTGCTTGGCCTCAGCATCATTAGGCCAGGCTGTCAGCCCTGGAAGTGGGTGTTTAAGGGGCTGGGGGCCTTATTAAAGCAGGAGGTGCTGAGACAACAGGTATATGATGCCAACAAAACCAGCAAACAGGCCAAGCCTCAATGGTAAAAAGTCCAGAGAATCCTCTAGCTGGGAATGCAGGTGGAGGGTCTGACGGCGAGTGGCCTCCCACTCCCCTGAGTTGTCCAGGATGTGCTGAGCCAGTTGGCGCTTCTCTTCCAGAGGCAGTTGGGCTGCAATCCGTTCCTCAGCCTCCTCTCGACTCAGCCCATTCCGCTGCATCAGCCGTGACAGCTGGGTCTGGGGGTCACTGGTGAGAGGAAGGGAAAGGGGACAGTGCTCAAATAAGAAGAAGACCCTCACCCCACTTCCACCCACTAGGGACATTTTATCTTGGAAGAAAGGCACAGAGAAATGCTTCTCAGTACATACTGGGTCCCTCTCATTCAGATACCCTGGTTCCAGTTCAACTGTAGTCCTACTATATCCTAGAGAGGATATAGCAGATCTGTGCTTCCAGGCAAGGTTAGTAGTGAATGTGGATTTGAAAACAATCTCCATTTATATTTCTTGTCCCCTTCCCCAATTCTTTAATATGCCTTTGGAAAAGAACATGTCTTAGAATGAACCCCAGGTACATGAAATGTTAGTTATGCCATGGCCCTGCAGCCCAGAATTTCAACTTAACCCTTCATAAACAGCAATCCAAGTTGGTGACATTAGCTCTCTCCTCTTGTCCCCTTAGGGTTTCTGGCCAAGTCAGTGTGACCTTTACTTAAAGGGCTGTCTCGACCAGCTAAGCCCTTTCAGTTAGCTCCCCTGAGGCCCTAGGGCTGCTGGCTGAATTCTGAATAGCTTCCTAGGGCCATCATGAAGCTTCTCCTCCCTTTGCAGATTGGTCCCAACTCCTCCCACTGCCACTCCCCGAATCCAGAAAGCTATGCAGAGCAACCAACCTGTACTGAGGATGTGGCCAGTGTGGCTAAGTTAAGGGCTATATGTGTTTGGGCAGTGGGCGGGTTTAGAGACAATTAAGGGCTTTCCACATTCAGTCAACACTGAACTACCATTTATCAAAAGCCTTCCCTGTCCAATGCACTGTGTTTGGTGCTGGAAGGAATTTTAAATGACCTCAGCTCTTGGGGTCAGCTAATTACCGGAATGTAAGGCTACCTGCTGCTCCAGTGATTTTTCTGCTAGAAATCCAAAGATCCTTTTCACACCTAGAATTTACTTTCAAGGTCCCAAGACTTATTCAGTAGGTTCCCTGTTATGCCTGAGGTGTCCCTTCCTCTCTTGAATAACTGTGAATTTGTAAGGAAGACAAGCCAGCCTAGAAAAGAAATGTGCAGTAGCCCCATTTTAGACCCTGTAATCCCACAAGTGCCTTCCCTTTCTGGGCCTTTTGTCTCCCCCAAATGTAAAATGGGCTGGCCAGTTGCATAGGAACTAGAAATGTTGTTATTTTAATACCTATTAGATTAGTGGACAACCTTGGCTGATTAAAAAAAATGGTAAAACAGCAGAGGTTAGTAGCAGCTTTTAGAGAAATTTGGACATAAAAGCTGATTCTTGCCATCTTTGCTGTGAGTCAGCCTCCAGGTCTCCTGGATTTTTCTACCAAGCCTCAATTTCTCCATTTGAAAAATGGGAAGATTTTGTCATATATTGGAATTTGGCAAGACAACCAAGGGAGGAATAAGTGGGTTAGACATATACAACAAACTCTTCTTACCCACACAATGAACTCCCCAATTATTTCATCTTACTGGCATTTCACTGCAGAACACAGCTAATAAGGTTAAGTCATGGGGTCAGTTCCTGGTGGGACGGTTTGGCTCTGCATTAATAATAGCAGCTCACATTTATATAATGCTTTACAGTTTACAAAGTACTTTGCTGACAACATTGTGAGGTAAGTAGCATGAGTATTATCATACCCATTTCACAGATAAAGAAGCAAGTCAATTGGAGACCTAGGAACTTGAAATCTGGCTCATTCTCATAGTGTTAGGGAACTGATAGTCTAGAGGGAAGATCCCATATTCAGCTATGTGATAGTTTGGATGACTTGACTATACCCTAGGATAATCACATCTTGGAGCAGCTAGGTGGTGCAGTGAATAGAACTACTTGCCTTGGAGTCAGGAGGCCCTGACTCCACTTTACGCTTACTAGCTCTGGGCAAGTCACTTAACCTGACTGCCTCACCAAAAAAAGAAAAAAAGAAAAGGATAATCACTTAGTCACTTCCTAAGATAAAAACAGGGCACAACATAAGGCAAAGGGCCACAAAGCAGGTAGTCTTGGATATTTAGTGTACTAAGGTAGCATGCCCAATACTACTTCCTATCATGTGCTTCCTATATATCCTCTCCTGGGGACCACCCTGAATCCAAAACACCTGAGAAACCAAGTGCCTCCCAAATAACTGGGGGAGGCATCCAGGAAGCATCTGAGCAGAAGACAGCCCTGGTATCTCATCTGTTCTTGCTTACTGGATCACTAGGGACCATGACTCATTCTTCCTTGACAGTTTGATCCTCCTCCACTTGCTAAGCCTGGATTTTATTTGCTTTGTCCCACTACCCCCGAGGGGTCAATGTAGAATAAATCAGCTTCACTTGCTCACTAGTACTCTCATAGTTCCTCCATGTATAGGAGCTCAACCACTATGTGACCTTGGACAAGTCCCTAAATGTCTGTGTGTCTATTGTGTCTCTCTCATTGGCAACATGGGTATAATTATCCCTGTCCTACCTTGTGTTGGGAAGATAAAATGAAAATGGACATGAAGGCAATCTGTTTTGAACACAAAAGGCTATTACAGACGACAGCTTTGCTCATCTTGGTTTAACTGCCTGTACGCCTGTAACAGCCAGCAGGGGGAGCTCTCCCCATGTACCATAAAGCCCTGAGACCCAGTGACAAAAATCAGCAAGAGTGGGACCGCCTCCCTACCAGGCTCAACTGCATAACATCAGACTGGTCAATATTCAGGGCCCAGTTCATTGGGGTCTTAACTTCTCATCTTGACAAACAGAGAACGATGTTGCCCAGGCAAATGTCCCACCACTGCCTGAGGGAATCTTTCTCTATCCCAAGATCAGCAGGCATTTTCCACTTCGGAATCCCAACTCACCAATATACCACCACTGTGTGCTTCATGAAGCGTAACATTGTTTTAGTTTCAAACAGCAAGGGAATGTCCAAGATCACATATCGGTACCCTGGGGAGAGGAAGGAAAACGCCCAAAAGAATAAGAAGAGCCAGTCATCATCCTTTCCCGCTCTAGATACCCTATTTTCTTTATTCAACTAAGTGACAAGAAAAGCACCGTGACTCAGCTGACGAGCTGGATTTTGACCTAGGAAAATGGCAAGGCCTTGGGGCCTTGTATTGGAGAATGGTTGGTTTGGTTGAAATATAAGATTAATGAAAGGAAACAAATAAAGCTGTGTGGAACCAAATGTAGAGGGCACTGAATGCTAGGCTGTGGAAATTAGACTTTATTCAGTAGGCAGCATGGAACTACCAAAGGGTTGTTTGTTTGTTTGTTTGTTTTAGATGGGAAGTGGGATGGCGCAGAAGGAAGAGAGGAGAGCAGTGACATATTGAGAGGTAGGTGCAAAGGCACTGAAATGAGGAATTATAGGCAAAGACAGAACACCGGGACTTGTGGCTACAGAGATTGAGGGGAAAGACGTGTTTATCTGCCCGAGGTAGCCAAGCTGATAGCTTAAGCAAGGCCACACTGCCTCCAATGAGACCAAGTACATGGGGTCCTTTGAAGCCAAGGCCCAGACTGGATGTTCTCTCTAAAGAGCCTGGGCCATATTTGAATATGACATCCCTTAAACATCAGTGGGACATGTCATTGGAATTCTATTCCTACGATGGCAGGCTGCAGTTACCTAGTCCCCTCATGACCAAATGGAATTTGTAAAAAGACGGACTGGAGTCAAGGGATAAAACTCTCAGCAGGGAATGGAAATTGTCTTTGCATGCAAAGTTGATTTTGGAGAGGACAAAACCAATGGCCACATTAGCACCAGGCTTTTAATCTCTCAGCCTGTTTTCTCTTTTGCAAAATGAGGATAATACCATCTGTCCTGACTCAAGTGGATCTTGTGAAGGTCAAATGAGAAAATGTTCAGTGAAAATGCTTGTGTGTCTAGTTGTTTTCAGATGTGTCTGACTCTTTGGGATCCCATTTGGGGTTTTCTTGGCAAAGACACTGAAGTGGTTTGCCATTTCCTTCTCCAGCTCATTTTATAGATGAGGAAACTAAGGCAAACATGGTTAAGGGACTTGACCAGTGTCACAGAGCTAGTAAGTGTCTGAGGCTATATTTGAACTCAAGTCTTCCTAAGTCCAGGCTCAGCACACTCTATCCACTGCACCACCTAGCTGCCCCCTAGAAAATGATTAGGAGGGGCAGCTAGGTGGCGCAGTGGAAAGAGCACCAGCCCTGAAGTCAGTTCAAATCCGGCCTCAGACCAAACTCTTGATGCTTACTAGCTGTGTGACCCTGGGCAAGTCACTTAACCCCAACTGCCAAAAAGAAAGAAAGAAAGAAAGAAAGAAAGGGAAAAAAAGAAAATGATCAGGAATCTGTAAAACATGCCACAAATATGAGGGATTATTATTACACATAAATGCTCCAGGATTATTCCCTCTTTGATTCACAGTGGAGCTGACATTCAAGATCAGTGAGCCAGGGAGGAAACCCAAGCTACCTGCTTCCCAATCACCCAGCTCTGCCGACTGAGAAGCCCAAGAGAAACACATGGGACTCCCCAAAGCAACAAAGACCAGACTGCATGAAGGGAACTGAGAATGGAGGCTGGCAGCACTGCTTACCCACGTCAGGGCCAGAGCCAACACAAGCTCCTTTTAAAACCTCTTATCTCCCTTTGCCTCTCCCTTCCGTGTGTCCTTTCCTTCGGGCTCCTCATGGGAGCCTATGGCCAGTGCTTTGGTTCGCCAGTAAAGGTCCATTCAGCTGTCACATCCCTCCTGCTTGATAAGCTCTGCAAACTATCCTGACTCTATTAAGACATTCTTCTGCCTACACAGAGACCTCCCCCAACAGCTGGTGATCTTATCTGACGTTTGATTATACCAACTTTGACAGTTGTATTTGTTACACTCATCAGGGGAAAACTGGGACTGTGGAAGCCACAGCTGTCATCCCCATTTTTCACCTTATCGAGCTGAAAAGAGCTTACTGGCTTTTATTTAAGTGAGACAGGGTGGGGTGGGGGAAGTGCAGAGAATGTTTCAGAGCCGGTGACATTATCCAATGAGTAATCTCAGAAGGAAAGCTACGCTGCCTGCCGCCTTCGAGCCCTACAGATGTACTTGTAACTGGCCTGGGAGGGAATGCAAAGGGCACAAATGAAAGGCACAGGGTTCCATTCTTGGAGCCAACGGGGGTGGGATAGTGGTAAAGGAGCACAAAGGCACAAGCATCCAGAAAGAAGACAGGAGAGGGGAGGGCTGAGACAGTGTGAGAGAGAGGACAAACAAGCCAGACTGGTAAAAGCTCATGGTCCCATTCTGAACCTGAGTCAGAGTCTTTACACTGTCAGCAAAGACCCCCAGAGAGACAGAAAGAAAGATGAGGAAAGAAGGAACATTTCCTGGCTTTGTAAAGGAGAAGCAGGCAAAGTAGCAAGGAAAAGATCTTGGCTACACACACTACTTGGAGGCCAGAAATAGGCTGGAGAAATCCTGCTTCCCGATCTAATGTTCTAAATATAATGCTTCTCTTAGTAGTTGTGGCCACTTCCACAAGGGAATTTTAAAGATTGCCCTTCAGGAGTTTGGGGAAAAGGGGGGGGGAGAAATTAAAAATGTATTAGTTCTGAGAGTGACAGCTATGGTGTATGTGTCAGAGAATAAAGGCTACATTTTCCCTATTGCTGCTGCTATACTTCAGTTCTTTGAGATGTGGGAACTTTGGTGCATTTTTTGAAAGGATACTAACCTAAGCAATAGCCAAATGACTCCTACTCTCTAACCTTTTCAAACCACTTTCTTCTTCCATTATTTCCAGTCTTAGAAGCCAGGCAGCCCAGAGGAGTGCATCTGGAATCAAGAGCTACCTGGGTCCAAAACTTGCCTCCAAAATGTAAATTGTATGACCTTGGGTAAGTTGTAACTTCTCTGAATCTCAGTTTCCTCATTTCTAAAATGGAGATAAGATACCTGTAGTACTAACCTTCGAAGGGTGTTTTGAGACTCAAAAGACATATTTTATAAACCTTCAAGTCTTCTTAAAATGTCAGTGATTTTTTTGCAGCAAATCATCTTGTTGTGTGTCCCTCCATATGTCTGGCTCACTCTCACCTGAAAACCTTTCCAGGCTAGCCTCCCCTAGTTGGACCATCTCTGAGAACTCCTTCATCCCTTTTTCTTTGTTTTAGCTCCAGCTGAAGACTCATTTCCTCCAGAAAACCTTCACTGAAAATGCTCCCTCTGATTGTCCCATTCTATTCTTTATTCCCTTGAACACTAGTTACTCCTCATAATTATATTTATTAGTCCTTATGTATGTATTCTTCTATAACTTTCACGAATGACTGCATTGTCTCCATTTGTTCTGGGGGCTAGTTACTTCAGATACTTCTAGCATGATGCTACCAAGGTCAAGGTTACCTATTTCCCAATGGGGAAAAATTCCTATTTCACAGGTAGCACCTTTAAACCATAGATTAGCCATCTTGCAAAAATGAATACCACATGTTAGGAAGAGAATTTGAAGAGAGTGAATTATAATTCAATATAATACATTCTCACTACCAGGGAGAAAAGTCAGCTACAAGTCCACCTCCCCTAGACTGAATCAAAAGCATTATCATGTAAAGTTTCAAGTTCCTCAGTGGTGAGGACAATATGTCTTCTATTCCACATGTATCCTTCCTTCTCGTGGGGCCTAGAATAGAATTCTGTACTAAGTATCAAATAAATGTTTTGATTGATTGGCCTTACTGTCCAACTCTCCACCATCACTCTCTCCTTGTTACCATAACCGACTTGTTACAAAGGTAAGAAGGACAAAGGCTGTTGTCCCAATAGTCATCAGGGAAGTCCCAGAATTCAAAATGGAAACATCACACCTCAGCCTCCCTCCTTGCCCCCCCAGTCTCCAGCCTCTGGCATCTCACCCTGAACCAAGTACTTCAGGATCTGCTTCAGCATCTCCTTACGAATGTCTGGATGGGTGATGGCATTCAGCAGTTTCCGCTTCTCAGAATGGCGGAAGATGATGCTTCCCAAAGCCTGGCGGTTGATCTCACCATTCTCTAGCAGGATCTCACGTCCAAAGGCTTGCACAATACGATGGTAGGCAGGGTAGCCTGGTTTTACCACTGGCAAGGGAGGGGAAAAGAGGTAAGCACAGGACTAGACCCTGAAAGATATAATCCCACTGCAGTTAAAAAGTCTCCAGGCAAGAATGGTGATGTAATCTGATAGATAGTGTACTTTGATGTGGGGCTTGAATATCCTAAAGGAAGAGGTATAGTTTACCTTTTTACTTGTAAAAAAATAAAGATGCAGAATTAGAGGACTAAGGAGAGTAAATAATTCCTTATCTCAGAAACGGGTTCCAAAAGAAAAAGTATTTTTAAAAGAGAGGACAGTGATAGCAGCAGAAAAAGAGAAAAGGAAATTAGAATAAAGTATCAACTCTGCCACCTATTGGGCCTAAAAGAATAGCAGGAACACCCTCAACTCCTTCTGGGCAACTAAAAGAAAGAGAGAGGGGAAAAGGTTGTTAAAAGTATTTGGGGACATGGAAGAAGAGGAGATGTCTATTGTTTCCTGCCTATTATACTATAAGCCCCCCCCCCCCCCCCCCCCGAGTGCAGGACGTCTCTCTCTGAACAAAGGAACAGCTTAATGTTTGTTGAATTGAATCCCCTCCTTTCCCATCCTCCAACTCACCCTGGTGGGCAATGGCATCTGCATCGATCACAGCACAGCCCAGATCCCTGAACACCTGAACTACTGAGCTCTTTCCTGAGGCAATGCCCCCTGACAGGCCCACCAGGAACATCCTGCCTCAGCAAGACTTGGTCAGCTCAGCCAGCCCAACAGGAGAGGGGGCAGGGAATCCCTAGGTAACAAAACAAACACAGATGATTAAGACTGGAATTCAGGAAAGAGTGCAACTGTTCCAATAAAGCATGTTTTTGTCTGTCATGGGGAAGGGATACAGTGTGAACTGAAAGATATAGTCTCTGCCTTTGAGGAATTTATAGTCTGAGGAAGCTCAAGGAGGGAGGATAGAACACATCTACATGAAAGGAATGAAGGGGCAGCTAGGTGGCACAGTGGATAGAGCACTGACCAGCCCTGGAGTCAGGAGGACCTGAGTTCAAATCTGGCCTCAAATACTTGACAACTAGCTGTGTGACCCTAGGCAAGTCACTTAACTCCAATTGCCTCACCAAAAAAAAAAAAAGGAATGAAAAACACTCTTACTAAGAAACTTCAATAAGCACAAATGCCATTTATTTCATACAGTTTACTTCAGGTCTTATACTGTACTTCCCATCATATTCTATTCTGCATTATGATGATTTATAGTCATTGCATATTTAAAGTGTCCTATCCTACTTGCTAGGGCAGCTAGGTTGCGCCATAGTGCACAGAGTGCCAGTCCTTGGATCAGGAAGACTCATCTTGAGTTCAAATCTGAACTCAAGACACTTACTAGCTGTGTGACCCTGGGCAAGTCACTTAACCCTGTTTGCCTCCGTTTCTTCATCTGTAAAATGAGCTGGAGAAGGCAATGGCAAACCATTCCTGTATCTTTGCCAAGAAAACCACAAATGGGGTCACAAAGAGTCAGGACACGGCTGCAACAACCGAACAGCAACAATCCTACATGTTACACTGTAAGCTCTATGATGGCAAATTATTCACTAGAATGTCAGCTTCTCAAGGACAGGGGTTGTTTTTGCCTTTCTTTGTATTCCCTGTTCTTACTACAGTACCTGCCAAGTAGTAAATGCTTAATAAATGTTCATTCAACCAACCACTTTAATAAATGGTGCCTACAGTGTAGCAACACTAGGGGAGACACTGAGATAATTTAGACACAGCCCCTGTCTTCATGGAGTTTATATACCTGCACAGTATTACATAAATGTGTAAGTACTGAAAGTATCTGAACAAGGTCAAGTAGGGTTAATTAAGAAATACTTCCCTTGTAATAGATACAAGTTTTATTGAGTCAGGTTTCAAATGAGGAATACAGATTGGCAGCTGCATATGAAGAGCTCAAGGTACGTGCAGGATGCAATCTTTCATTCTTATAAACCATTTTTTGAGAAGCAAGGTGGTTTGGTGGTTTGAGAGCTCACCCTAGAGTCAGAAAGACGAGAGTTCAATTCCCACCTGTGACACATGCTGGCTATATGACCTTGGGCAAGTCACCTAACCTTTCATTGCCAGAGACAACTCTCTAGGACGCCATTACAGAGAAAATGATGATCTGTATTGATAGAGGGAGTTCCACAGCAGAAGTTGCCATAGATAAAATTAAGGATGTGATTTAAAAATGTAAGCTCCCTCTGTCTAAAGGAGAAAAATAGGTCACCTGACATTTTCCAGACTAAGAAACTGAGGCTCACTGAAAGGAAAAAGCATGCCTGTAAGCATACAAAAAAAATCACTAAAGACCTTAAAAATTCACTCTAGGTGCCCAGGTACTCAACTCAGTCCAGCCCTCTAGCCAGAAATTCTCTAAGGCTTCCTCCCAGGAAGATGGCAAAGCAATCCCACAATTCAGGCTTATAATGGACTCAAGGCTGAGTGAGTTTAGTCTGTCTGAGATAAATAATCCTTCCTTTCTTGTCTAGGAGTCGTCCAGATGGGGAGCTCAGAAGCAAACAGCAGCTTATGCTCAGCTGCCACTAAGCCTGCTGGAGCAAGGGTTTTTGCCAAGAAGAAATTCTAGGGCAAAGAGGGGCTGAGGAAGAAGCAAAAGGGGTCTTCATGGGAGGTTCTAGCTAAGCCAAGGCATCAATGTGAGTGATTTTGGGGGGTTGGAGGTGAGGAGAAGCTGAGTAGTGGCATTTACTATCTTACAACCACTAGTTATCAGTCATCAACAGGCATTTATTAAAGGCTATGTGCCAGCCACAGGGTGAAGTGCTAGGCAGCAAACACAAGGATAGTACCTGCTCTTAAGGAGTTTACATCCTAATGGTGGAATATGACATGGGGGGAGGGGAACCCACTGAGTTCTCTATTGGTGGCAAAGTAGTAAAGCCTGGAATCAGAAGCAGAGCCAGGAGAGGAATGGAAGGATGGCCAGCCAGGGTCCTTTCCTCAAAATGGAGTTTCCAGGAGGAATCTACCAAAGAGAAGTGGTGAGTTACAATGTAATTCACCTGTACATGGTAGCACATTTTTCCTGCATGTATTCTTCATGCTTTTTTGTTTTCACAGATGTGTCCTTTCTCTTCTCACATATGCAGGCTTCCTGAGGAATGACAGGATCACAGAGTCTTAAAAGAACCTTGGTGCTTATCAAGTCCATTTTACATATGAAGTTACTGAGGTCTAGAAAGGTTTGCTGTTCAGTCATGTCCAACTCTTTGTGATGCCTTTTTGCAAATTTTTCTTAGCAAAGATACTGGACTGGTTTGCCATTTCCTTCTCCATCTCATTTTACAGATGAGGAAACTGAGGCAACAGGGTTAAGTGACTTGCCCGGGGTCACACAGCTAGCCAGAGACCAGATTAAAGAGGGAGAAAAAAAAAGGAGGAACAGAGGTTCTAGGTCTTCCCCTAGAATCCAGGAGAAGGCTCTGTGACGCAGAAGGGGTACTAAAGACAGAAATGTTTGTGCTTATAAATGAATCTACTATATAACCTATGACAAGGATGAAGTTGTTGTTGTTTTTCTGTTAATGAAGGTCAGTGACCCACAGGGATAAAAGATTAATATAAGGTAACCCCATCAAAGATTTAAAAACATGGCCATTCATGAAACCTTCTCATCTCATTTTCAGATAAAAAACCCTGACTAGGATTCATACTCTAAAAAGTAATGGGGAAGTGAGGAAGCAAACAAGCATTTATTTAGCACCTACTATGTGTCAGATACTGTGCTAAATGCTTTTCAAATATTCTCACATTTGATCCTCACAACAACCCTGGGAGAGGGAGGTAGATACTAATATTATCCCCATTTTAGAGGTAAGGAAACTGAGGCAGACAAAGGTTACATGATTTATCCAAGATCACACAGCTAGTAAGGGTCTTTGGCCAGATTTGAACTCTGGTCTTCCTTACTTTAGGCCTAACATACCACCTACCCGCCTATAGGAAAAGGGATGACACATCCCATTTTAGAAAAAACTATTTTTTTCCTCCAGACCCAGTGTTCTTTTATGATTTCACTGCTAAAGCAATGTTGCATTTTTGTAGCTAATAGAACAAATGGAGATACCATTTCTGGGCATTCTAGGTCCAAATTAAGCTGAGAGGTAGTTGTTCCATATTCTTGTCATCTAGAATCAGGGCTCAAATATCTGTGTGGATTGAAGGGAACAGTAGGACACATAATCCCCAAACAGTTGTTAATCTAAAACCATTTCTTACAGACCTTCAAATTTGTCATATGACTACTTTTTTTTGCAGCAGCAGCAAATTTACCATACTAATTATGATTATGTTAGCTGATACTGAAATTAATTTTCTTCCCCTAAGGACACATCAAGTGATGGAGGAAGAAACAACCCAAATATGTGCTAGGGAAAGCCAATTTAGAATTTTAAAGTTTGTTATGGAAAATTCACACAGATAATTGACAACTGACTGGACACTATGAAGAATTACCCTCCCCTCAAAGAATTTGTCGTCTAAAATGGTAAGCCAAAATCAAAGGACTCATTGGTTCTGTATTTTGCAATTGTAATCATTTTTTCTCTAATGGGGTCACCTGAGACAACTTCCACATTACAAATAGAAGAGATATGAGAATTTCATTCAAACGAGCCTGAAACATAAAAACAATTGGCATTTACATAGCATTTTACATATATTATCTCATTTGCTCCTCACAATAACTTTCTGAGGTTACTGCTAACATTATCCTCATTTTACAGATGAGAAAACTAAGACTTAGAGAAGTTAAGTGACTTGTTTAGGTCATAGTTGTGTCTGAGGTAGGATCTGGATTCCAATCTTCCTGATGCAAGTCCAGTACTCTATCCACTGCATCACCTAGCTAGTGGACAACCCAACAATATACATTATAATCCAAGCTCTTTGTTCCCATTCTATGCCTATTTCTCTTGAAGTAAAATGGATATATTTTCGTCTGCTCAGCATCATCAAGCAGCATGCCTTTTTTTTTTAAGCGGTGACATTAACTAAGGGAGTTTGGATGGAGCCCTGGTACTCACAGGATACACCCTATTTATTGCCAACCTTAGAGACACAGAATCAGCCAATTTTATAGCTTGCAGAGACCTTAAACACGGTTAGTTCCAAACCTTTTTTTTTGACAGATGAGGTAGAAGCACAGAAAAATTAGGGAACTTGTCGAAGGTCACCCAGTGTAATAGCCTTCTTCCTAACCTACTTAACGTGACAAACCTGGGCTATGTCCCTTCTCTGCTCTTCTCAGGACATCCAAAGACCACAAGTTCATTTTAACATTAATCTAATTGAAATCATAGTTAGGAAGATAAATCTGCTGGGGAGGGAAACAATAATACACTCCAAAGGCAAAAAGAAATGATCTGGTTCTCTTGAATATCATACCATTACCACCACCTCCCCCCTTCATGGAGAGGAGAGGGTTAACTCTGGACAGAATCACAAAGAGCAATGCAGCCAGGATACAGTGCTAGGAAACCCAAGTTCTAGCCTCAGGTTTATCTCTGGCAAATCATTTCATCTGTCTGTGTTTGTCTGTGAAAACAAAGCACAGCTGTTCTCTCTGCAGAAAGCCAGGAGCATGAAAAATACAAGGATGGGATGGCTTTGGGCTCCTTGGCTTAAAGGTTAAGGAGTACACTATAACTAATTGTACAAACATTCATAGAGCCCTTTTGCGTATGGAGACATAAGAAAACATGGTTCCATCAAGAAACT